AAATATAAATTAGGTTTCATTTGAGATAATTTTTTTATTGTTTTCTAAAATAAATTTTAATATAAAATTTTCTAATTAAAATAATTTTTATACCAAAAAATTATTTAAAAAAATAATAAGAAAGTAATCTCAAATGAAACTTTAGATTAAGTAAAATTGTCAACATTCTCTCCCAATTTATGATGAATTGAAATCCACTCAAAAAGCCACAAAAAATCTTCCAAAGCTTTGCCAAACAGTGGCATTTAAGATTTGACTTTCAACTCTCTCCTCTTAAATAATTTGTTGCTCATTGGTTGACCACCAAACAACAACTTCAAACTTTATTATTATTAAATGACAAAATAAATATATATATTTATTTACTTTCATGATTTTTTAATTAAAATTAATCAATGTCAATTATAGCCAAAAAAATCTTAGAAAATATAAATAGAACAACAAAGAGAAAAAAAACAATATAAGACTCAGAAAAAACAACAAAATCAAGCATTGCTTGATGATGAAGAAAATCAAAAATCCTAAGCATTAATTAAAAAATCAAAACTTAATCTTCCAACATAGAAGATTCATTAGAACCTTTCTTAGAAAAAATTGGAGAGGAATGCATGAAAATTATCATTATTCTTAAATTCTAATAAAGCAAATAAAAAACAACATCATCATAAGGAAATAGCAATATAGATTCATATGATGATTGTTCGATAAATTTACGCTGGTTCTCAACTACCTAAACATAATCCTCCTTTTTTTTGTCTAGAGTTTGGGACTCAGCAATGATAATGTTAAAGGATAGATATATCCAGTATATATAAAGAGTGTCAACAACAAAGCACTCTGCCAAAATAAAAAATTTCAAGAATTGTGAGAGAAAATTGTCATTTCATTGCTTATGTTTTATAGGGTTCGTAGAGAATTGGAAGAAAACTAAAAAAAGGTTCATAGAGAATTGGAAGATTAAAATTTTGTTAGGTTTATTTTGAGATTAGTGCTTCAAATTTGATGACTTTAAATCTAAGCCCATGAGTTAATGTTTTATTAGAATGAATGTTAACCTTGTTAGATTTCTTTTGAAATAAGAGAAATATAATTAGTCAAAAAAAAAAAAGAGAAATATAAATTTTGATTGATTTCTTAACTATTATCTTCATTACAAATTAAATTTAATAAATTTAAGATTTCTTTTTTACCAATTCTTTTTCAAAAACAATTTTAAAAGTATTAAAATATAAATTTAAATATGAAAAATGTGAAACAGCCGGCTCAAGCCAGCTAGCTGCAGTAACTTTAAACTATAAATATGAACATCTCTGATTTCCTCTCTCTCTCTCTCTCTCTCCAATGGCTTCCATGACTCTTTCTTCTCTTCCGCTGGTGTTCCTTTGCTCTCTTTTCTGCGTTATTTTCTCTTCCTTCTGTTACTGTAAATCGTTATCTAGCGTAACCATTGATTCTTTGAGAGCTTCTCTTGAAAAGCAGGAAGATTTTATAGTGTTTAGTCTCATTGAGAGAGCCAGATATCCTTATAACTCTTTTGCCTATGATCCTTCTTTCTTGGGTAATCAGAACTGTTCTTTTGTGGAGCTTTTTTTCAGAGAAACAGAGGCCATGGAAGCCAAGGTAGTTTTTCTCTTTTCATTTTTTCTACTTTGATATTGTTTATTCATTTAATTCATTTCTCACTTTGGTTTTTGTAATATTTTATTTTTCTTTTTTTTTTCTTTTTCTTTTTGGTGTTTTAGTTTTTAAGAACTTGTTGATTAGATAAATGCCGTTGAAATTTAGTTTATTTTCATGTGCTTAATTGCTTTACTTAGAGAATTGGACTTCATTTGGGTAGAAATTATTCTGTGCGGACACCACACTGTCCGGAGGAGAATCAGAGCATGCCACATCACGTGACGTGGCATGCTCTGATTCGCCTCCGAACCGCATCCGTTGTCCGCACAGAATAATTTTTTTCATTTGAGATCAACAACTTTCTTATTGCTTCTTAAACAACATTTTAGTAAAAAATTAAAATTTTTGTATCAACAAGCTGCTTTAATAAGCAGCAATAAGAAAATCGTCCCAACCGAAGCCTTAGCTTGGTATAATGATTTATTTTATCAATAAATATAATCTTATACCCATTGTTTTGACCCAAAATATTAAAATTTCTCCTTTTTTCTCTTTGTTAATCTCACTAATTTATTACTGCCATGTAAATTTGGTTCACTTTCATGCATTTAATGGCTTTTACTTTTTCAAAAAAAAAGAAACGGAGATATTAGCTGGTTGACCAGCTTGATTGAAATTGTCAATAAATAAATATATAACAGAGATATTGAAATGGTCAATCCTATTAAAATTTGTACAGTTTGGACGGTATCAGAACCCCGAAGAGCTTCCATTCTTCCCAGATTATACACAACCTCCATTAGCTCCTCCTCACAGGTTTCAAAATGTAATTATCCCTCTCTAACCTTAATCATTACACTAATCATCTGTAATTAAGAAAACTAATCCAGTTTATCCTTCCAAAGATCTTGCATCCTCCTGCTGCTTCAGTAAATGTTAGCAGAAGAATATGGGATATGTACTTCAACGACTTACTTCCCCTATTCACCAAAAAAGCTGATGATGGAAATTATCAACAAACTGTAGCTTCAGATCTTATATGTTTACAAGTAAGAATCTTCATATTTTAATTTCGACAGATTAATGATCTCCAGCATCAAAATATTTTCATTAGTGTTTGGAGATCATTGCAACAGGCTCTCTCCAGAAGAATTCATTCTGGCAGATTTGTAGCTGAGATTAAATTCAGAGATTCTCCTCAGAACTATATTCCTGCAATACAGGCTAAGGTTTCTGATCATCCTATTCTCTTCAATATTTTTGGATAAAAATATCAACTTTATATAATTTTTCATGTAAACAATAGTTCTGATCTGTATTTATATATGCAGGATTCAGAAACTCTGATGAAATTGCTAACATTTACTAGTGTTGAAGAAGCAGTAGTGAAAAGGGTGTTTAAGAAAGCTGAGATATTTGGTCAGAATGTAAATTTAGGGAAGAATTATGTAAAAGAGTCTGAAAGTAAATATAAAGTGGAACCTTCAGTAGCTGCTAAGCTCTACCAAGAATGGGTTATTCCATTTACTAAGCAAGTTGAAGTTGGTTATCTTCTTCGCCGCCTAATTTGACAGAACAATGTGATTTAGGCTTCATTTGGGACGGTGTTTACTGCTTTTTAAAGCAGTTTTTTAGTATAAAAAATTTATTTTTTTACTAGAAGGCTACTTTAAGAAGCAGTAACAAAACTGTACGTGTCAAACGAAGCTCATTATCTGATAGCAATAAGATTCTTCATCATGAGCTATGAAATTATGTATATTTTAGGGTAGAGGAATCAGGAACCATTAGAAATTAATAAACATCTTGAGAAAGATTGAAGAGAGTGTGCACATTGGTTCTCATAATTTCCTTCAAGGGGCTTCCCATAATCCAAGACTCATTGAAAAGAGTAAAGCAGAAACCAGCTTCATCACATAATCTTCTCTTCTTCTTTAGAACCAGACAATTCTTCAACGTCCTTCTGTATGCTGCAAAATGTTTAGATGCTTGAAACAAGAAGAACGCCAATAAAAGTTTAGAAGCTTGAAAGTTTTGGATCTGAGCAGTTTATTGATAGTCTCTATATGTGTTTAAACACACTCATTGTGCAAACATTTTGAAAGCTTTGAGTTACTTAAAGCCGTTGTGTCTGTTATTTGAAGAGCAGATTATCTCAAAGTGATTTTTTTTAAGAAAGAAGATGATCCATATAAAACAGATAAAACAATGTGGATGATTTCCCACAAACAAATTCAAGAGGTGATGGATCCCCTCAAAATTATTATTTATAATTGAACATGAAAACTTTGATGAGTCATCATAAATTTTCTTGTGAGATAGAGACATCCAAAATAACATTCAATTCATGGCTCAAAAACATCACCATTGTAATTATCATCATACCATTATGTAGGTCGCTTGTCATATGAAACTGAGTGCGGGATCGAAAAGAATAGACTGTTGATAAGCAGCCACTCGAACGTCTGAAGGGGGCTAGGCTCTCCTTTAGGTTTAGATAGGCATTTCATCAATGATGACCTTGAATCAAGCCCTTGCTCTACAAGTCAAATAGACGACTCAATCAAAGAGAAAGCTGGGTCTGACAGTTCCACTAACTGCAGATGAAGAGGTAGATGCTCTCAAGACTCAGAAGGAACGCTAGCTATATGCTTCACATATGGATTCTTCGTTCACTGCCCTTTTTAAATGACATACTACTCTTTCATTGTATGATTTTTTTAGTTTGATGAAGACAATCTCATTATGTATCTAGTACTTATTGTATTTTTACCTTTGCTCGGTAGTTATGTGCCAGTTTTTTTTTACCGTTTCCTCGGATTAAAAGGAACCGCTATAATAACAACCACGTGCGTTTCATTTCTTTCGGTCTTCTCTTTTCCTGCTTTTTATGAAGTTGCGCTTGGAGCTAGTGCTTGCGATCTCAGAATAACTCCATGGATCTCATTGGAAATGTTTGATTCTTCCTTGGGCTTCTTTGGCAACCTTGAAGTCATAGTATGAATTACCTAGTAGATAAGTAAGATTCAGACGCTACAATTGTTTTGCGGCAATAATAATTAAGCTTTTTATATTTAAGACTATTTGATTCCACCAAATTTTATTGTCTGATATTAATCCTTGAGCAAATTTATGTGCATAGCCATAGCATCTATTCTGATGCATTTTAAATCACTCTTATTCAAAATTTATATTTTTGTTAGATCCCTTTAAAATTATAATATAAAGTATCTAAAATTCAAATCACATATTTTTATTTAAAAAATAAAAAATATTTATATTTATAATTTTTAGCATTTTGTATCATATTTAAAAAATATTTAAAATCAGAGGTTCTAATTTTTCTTCTCATAATATACTAATAGAATAAAGATATTCCTACTAAATTAAGACAAAATAATAAAATTTGAAGACAATAATATAAAATATGAAGACTAATAATGACAATATAAAAATCACAATTTTTTTTCTGAAGCTTTCGAGTAATATCATAAATTACAATTAGAAAAAAAAATCTAATAAAAAATAAATTAATCCTCACAATTAAGCCCATGCTTAAGCCTAAGCCTAAATTACCAACTAATTTATAAATAAAATAAAATCATTAAAAAAAACTAAAAATATATTCAGTGTCTATCATTCCACCAATTGATGGTAAACTTTGATTAAGTTTTTTTTTTTTTTTTGCAAACTAATTGAGTTGATAAATATTTTTTAAATAATTATCAATCTCTTCAAATGTGAGTGTTGTCTACATCAAATTGCTATTTTAGAACTCAAATCTTTTAAAAAAAATCTCAAATATTTTGTAGGCTTCAATTAATTTAGGCTTCGTTTTAGACGATTTTCTTAGTACTTTTTAAAGCAGTTTTTTAATATAAAATTTTTTAATTTAATAATTTTTTTACTAAAAAATTATTTTAAAAACAATAAGAAAGCTATTCCATACGAAACTTTAGTTAATAAAGATTTTGAATGTTGTTGACACAGCTATGGGATTGAATACTTCCTGTATCAAATCTGTATTTCAACACAGATTTTCCAACAAATAAGATATAAAATAACAAAATAATAATAATTCTGATGATGATAAAACTTCAATAACTTTTGAGCTGGCATTTTATTGCTAATTTAGCAAGAAAAGTTTCTGAAATGAATAATCTTTTGAATTAGTGTAAAACCAGAATGCTTTCAACTTGGTAGAAAACTACTTCAGAGCCTTCTCATTTTGCACTTAAAAACAAAATTGTGCTGGCCTGGCTAAAAGTCTAAACAAGTTCATATTTCAGGAGATTTATGCACATAAGACCAAATTTTTAACGTCAAGAAAAAGGTTGGTATTCCAGGCAGTCAAATACCAACAGCTCTCTCATTCTTCCTATTTACTCTCTACAATCATTGTTATGAGACTAACATACCTTCAGCATCTCTGACAAGATCCAAAACAATATCGTCCTTCAGTTCTTCTCCAGGATTCAATCTCTCACTGGAAGCTTCAGCTTTGAGACTAACAGATTCACAGCATTCTTCAAACCTGAAGCAGTTGATGAGGTGATCGTTGGTTAAACCTGCGGCCTGCATGAATGAATACATGACCGTCGGCCCGACACCGCGAAAACCTCTCCTTACGAGGTCCTTGCTGATTGAATCTGCCTTTGGGGTCTTCACCGGGATCTGCCGAGGGTATCGAAATCTGCTCGCGATTGGCTTGTGGTTCACAAAGCTCCAACAGTAATTATCAAATGATCCAAACTCCTCTATAATCTTCAACAATCCAACAAAGCAATGGTGATAAGAACTTGAGAGTGAAATAAATAAAGATTAAAGTTGATAAAGGTATGGTCCAAAGAAGATAAAGGTGCTTTTAATAATGAGGATTCGCACAGAATGGTATAATGCTATGGCCTACTCGAGAAATCCAGAGTGTGTAGAGTTTAGGTGAGGTAATAAATTGAGTCTTATTTATATTAACTGGCTTTAAGTCGTTATATTTAGGTTTCGTTTGGGACGGCTTTCTCACTACTTCTTAAAGCTATTTTTTAGTACAAAAATTAAAATTTATATTAGAAAGAGTAAGAAAGCCGTTCCTAACGAAGCCTTAGATTCCTTGTTCACATGGCAGACTGATTACTGAGCTCCAGTCACCAACTTGAAGTTTTGACCAACTAATGGCTGGCAAAACTACAATGGTACATAGACTGAACTGATCTGGGCTGAAGCTCTAAATATTATCAACCATTTAGACCTTCAACATTGCTTTTCTAGTATTAATGCCAATGAGAAAAGACTTCAGCTGTTAAGGAATCAAAAGGAGGAAAAAAAAGGAGAGATGTGAATGAACCTTGAGAATCAGTTGTCCATTTTCGATGACAGCTCTCAGTTTTGTCTCAGAAAGAAGGGAGCTCGCAATGCTTCCTTGAGCTATTAGCTTCTTACCGTTCATTTTAGAAACCAGCACAGGATCAAAGTTCATGAAGATTTCCCTGTACCAGATGAGTCAGAAGCAGCATTTCAAATATATATATTCAGCATAACATATCTATTTAGCGATTGGAGGATACCTGAATATTTGCCTTTTATTAAGGATCGCTGGCCAAGTAAATTCGGCTAAAGCACCGGATAGTACAAGCAATTCAAAAAGCTTCCTGTACAATTTTCAAATCATCAGTGTTTGAGTTTCTCTGAAAAGACAGAAGTCAAGCATGGAGGTCACATACTTATCATCATGGACAGGAACACCCCACTCTTCATCATGAAAGGTCACATAAGCTGAATCTGACAAAGAAGATTAAATCAACATCCAATTGTTTGACTGAAATAATGATGCGAATTTTATATAAATGATTGCATCAATTCTGCATATTTTGAAATAACAAGATTCGTTAATGTAGCTTTCAACATTCAGTATCTACTAATTGATATTTAAATAAAAGGATATAATCTTAAGTCAAGATCAGTGCATTTCAAAATAAAGTAGAGGCATTTCTAACAGAGTGGGAATGATAAGAAAAGATTCGAGGGTCATATTCTAACATCTCTCATCCTTGTAACTTAATGAGTAGTATTCTAAACAAAAGAACTTTCATAGTTAACGTCATCCCAATTTCATAGTTTACACTCATTTGATTCTTATAACAAAAGCAATCTACAATATCATTCATGCAGTCACTGAAATCAGTTTATCCTGATTTGGTTCTGTTATGCCGCCAGCCCAGGAGGGGGCGGAAGCCCTAGTGGGGCCCTCTACTTAATGAAATTGTGTTTAGGAGGGAAATTTTAAAATTAGGGGCTGTTTAGGGATTTTGTAAGCTTACTTTTGGCTTTAATTAATCCTTTGGGGGCTAAGGTTAGGGGCATCTTGAGATTTGCTGAATTTTGAGATCTAGGATTTGTTTTGTTTGGGATCTAGGCTTTGCTAGATATTTGGAGAGTATTTCTTCCTCTCGAATTGAAGAAACTTGTATCTTGCTTTGTGTTTTTCTTGTTTTTGGATTGAATCCAAGTATTTCCCATGTGTTTCTTCTTCAATCTACTAAATTTCTTGTCTGATTTTTGCTGATTTCTCTCTGAAATCAGCCTTTTTTTCTCTCTGTTTTTGCCAATCCTTACTAGGTTTGCTTGCGAACTCAAGTATTACCCTTAGGGTTTCTTGCGAACTCAAGTACTTCCTATCAGATTCCTATAACAAAACCATCTATAATGCCCATCATGTAATAACTGAAATCAGTTTTCATCGCTTCCTCTTCATATGAACATAGTTTGCACTTATTTGATTCCTATAACAAAAACCATCTATATAGTCCTCCAAGTAGTAGCTGAAACCAGCTTTTCATCCCTTCCTCTTAAGGGAAACAATGGCTTATACTAAAGGTGCACCCTCGTAGTTTAGTTTTAGCCACCTCATCTTATGTGAAGAGATTACATGAGCTACGATAAAAAAAGAAAAATATTATGTGCTAATAAGGTGTTTTTGATTTGTATTGCTTGGTAATATTTAGTGCTGGTGTTGATACCAAACAATACAAAGCAATACATATTAAAAATGCCATTTTTTATAACATAGCTAAAAAAAATCACTTGAGCGGCTAGCTATCGTCCAATAATCATTAGAGCATCAACATGCATATCAGATCAGGTGAAACAGCAATATACTATCTTCTTTTTAGCCTCAACATAGCACCAACGCATGGCTTAGGAATCCTTTTCAATTTAGCAATTTCTTGTTTTCACAGTTAATTGTATTCCTGGTCGGCATTTTAGCAGAACAATTTTTTATGACAGATGCTTTTTCGCTGCAATACCTTGTCAATTCCCTCTTTTCAACTGAAATACACAACTCAAACTTAATTATAAAGTATATGAAAATTCAATTTCGATATAAAAACTCAATGGTTTTCAGCAGTCAGTGTCAATTCATGTATGTATCCTCATAATTTACAATAACAAACAAAATAAGTGTATTTTCAGCTCAAAGAATGAAAGAAAAGATTATAGCTGAACATAAAATAGCTGTACATAAAACAAAATCATATCTCAAACTCAAGAATTTAAACTCTATAGCTTATGATTTGCAACATATTGGTGATATAAATTCTATGATCCAAAACTTGACTGGATAGAGAGTTGAAATTTGCTAGGAGTAAAGATGGAATTACAGCAATGAGATGGTTTAATCAGCTTATAAAATAGTTGAGAGGTGTGAAGTAGCCTTAAGCAGCATAGGTCAGATACTCAATACTAGATTTGTTAGCATCTACATCATCATATCCTACGGGATGCGCAAAGGTTTATATTTTTAACAGATTAATTGACAGCCAGAATAGGAACCAAGTCGCATTCTCCCACATTGCATAATTTCAAAACCTTTTAGATACCAACCACAACTCTTATAGCATTTGAGACAAAAAACTTGATATAATTTACCAAAATTCAACAGCTTTGCTCAAGACACATCGCAATACTACACAGCATAACACAAAGCAGCAATGTCAAGCGTAGCCTAAGTGAAAACAAAAATGGTGACAACAAGATCATAGCAAGATACAATGAGAAATACGAATGATGCTAAACAACTAAAACTCAAAAGCCTGGAACTTAAAGAGGTTCTCATTGTAGTAACTTATTAAGCATTTAAAAAGAACAACTTGTATACTTATAGTACAATGTAAACAAGAATAGCAAACGGAAGTGAATACATAATCTTTGTTTAACTCGAAGCAATTTAACAATTCTATTTATAGAGCCAATCCCTTTACAATCACAACATGAATTATTAGCATTCAAGAAAAGAATAAGAATGAAGCATTCGTCGTATCAATACACAATGCAGAAGTAGGTGAAGGGAGAACAAACCAGTGTTAGGTGTTACCCAAGCACACCTCTTCTTCATCTGCAAGGTCTCCATTGCTGCCACCACAGCACCATCAGCCACAATCTCCTCTCTCGACACAATCTTCTCAGGTTTGGGAATACTCTGTCTTCGCTTAGAGGTAAAATTTAGCCTGCCAATTCTTCCCGTCGAAGCACGACTGCAGAAGGAATCAGTAGATGCGTCCGAAGAGCAAGAAGCATTCAGAGAAAAGCTAGATTGTAGCAGAAGTTTCTGCCTCCTCGGAACGGCCACAGGACTCATTGGAGGTGAGAAAGACTGAGAATCCGTCACCATAGACACCTCTTTCTTCTCCTCCTTCAGGCCCGACTGCGCTCTTTCCGCTTCCCTTAGCGGCTTCGAAGCTGGCTTCCGGGACACTGACGTCAACCTTGTTTTGTTTCCCGTTGGCCCAAGAACCGGCCGGGAGTCTGACTCCGTCACATTCATAGAACGGAGCTTTGGCGCTCCCGACATGAAGAGTACAAGGAAAACGCTGACTTTATCCCGTCCAGATCTCAAACTCAAAAACTCATAAAAACGACTGGTTCAACCACCCATCACCTCCATTCCACCTCCAGATCAATTCCTCCATTGAAAACACAAATAAACATATCGAAGTCCCAAAAGACGTCCACTTTCAACCCCAACTGAGCCTTAGGGTTCGTGAACCAACAAATTCGCGCCCTCCACCCGAATCAGACAAGGAAACTCTAGAAACAGCTGCAATTTTCGTACTGGATTACCGAGACCCGAAAGCAACCCAAATCCCAAGCTTCTTCCTCAGGAATTTTCCGTTCAACCGTGTGCCATTAATAAAACTAAAACAGTAACTCACTAACACCCTATAGCCTATGATCTCTTCCCTACAACTTGTTCTGAGAGAAATCCCAGAAAGAGAGGAAGACTCTCCGATCCAAACCAGAGGTCTGCCGCTCTCTATATAGACTGCCGCTGAGGAGAAATCGAGCGAAATGGTTGTAAACGAACAGAGAGAGAAAGGAGGAGGAGCAGAGAGAGGGGGAGGGAAGAGAAAATGTTTGCTAGAGAAGGGAGCATCGAATGTGCAGTGAGCTTCGGATTGTAGAACATTTAAAACTTTGTGACCGGGAAATGCCGGTGAGAAATGGTGAACTACGGGCTGCAGCCAGTGGCACTCTGCTCATTGCCCGCCGGACTTGCGGGTTCCTTTGAGGAGATTTTACAGAGATATTTAACCATTTTTATATATTTGACTATACAATACATATATTTATTAAACATATTAAAAATTATTATTAATCATTTAATTTGAAATTAAAAAAATTATAATAATTTTAATCATTTTAAAACTAAATCATGATCATTAAAACTTAATAGATATCTAAATTATAATAATATAAAAAATAAAATAATATCTTCAATGTCAATATGTTAAGCTAAATGTCAATGCCAATAATAAATTCTTTTTTTTAATTTGATTTATTTTGATTATAAATTGTTTAATTCGAATTTTATTTTAATTATTTTTATTATAAAATATTATAGAGTATGATTGCAATTCAAATTATAATATACATAAGATTTAATATAAACTCACTATAAATTTATGATTAGTATTTTTATAAGATTATAAATATTGCTAAAGATAATATATTTTACTACTTTATAAAATAATTACAAATTAATTCCTAATCATACTTTTAATAAAATTTAAAAATAAGACACTAGAAATTAAGCACATAAGCTATTGTGAGAAAAATAATTTTTTTTTCTTAAACTTCTATGGATATTATAAATATATTCATCTTTTAAAAATCAAATATTTATTTTCTTAAAATTGGTACATATTAGCTACTCTAAATAAAGCATCAAAAAAGTTGTCTAAAATAAAGCCTAAATTAATATTATTTTATAAATATGTGAGAAGCATTAAACATGTCAATGACATCATCAAGAAGTAGCCGACAACCAGCATAAAATTTATCGAACAATCATAACATAAATAATTTAATATATTATATTATAAATTAAATTATAATTAGCTTATAAGTTAATAAAATTTATGTTTAAAATGATGAGATTTTAATTTCAAAATAAATCTATAATATTGAAATTCATTCTAATTTTTTTGTTCTTATATGTATAAATAGCATCTGATCTTAGCTTACAGCCTTATACAAAACAGGCTTAAAAGAGCGGCAATGCTTTATTTATTGTCCTATTTAAATAGTAAATAAAAGTCAAGACAGCGAGATGTCACTCTTATTATATAGGGCCTATATTTCTCGTAGGCCTTAGACTGAGGGTATGCCTATCTGAACTGAGTTATTGGGAAAAGCACTAAACGCATCTGTTCAATAATTTAGTAATCAATTCTCTCTCTCTCTCTCTCTCTCTCCCTCTTATTATATATATTAAAAATATTTAATATGAAATAATAATTTTAATTTAGGATTTGTTACTTTATAATATTGCTATAAAAATATAATTATATCATTATTATTATAAAAAAATAGTTTTTCATTACACAATTTTATGAAAAAAGTGAAAAATAATAAGAAAATAGTAGTTAAATGAAATTATGGTTGTTATCAGAAAAGCAAAAAAAAACTAGAAAATTATCTCAAGCAAATCCTTAGATTTCATTTGGGACAGCTTTTGCTAATTATTTTTTCTTTGCTTTTAAGAAATTTGTGTGCTGAAAATTATTTTAGAAAGCAATAAAAAAGTTATCCCAAATAAAACTTTAAGATATATTTGAAATTGTATTTTTTTATGATGATGATTGTCAAGTTATTATTAGAAAAAAAAATTCTTGAAAATATTGAAAAAATAAAATCAAATAAAAATTCAATAATTTAGTAATCAATTACTCTCTTTCTCACACACACTCTCTCAACATATATATATTGAAAATATTTAATATAGAACAATAATTTTAATTTAGTGTTATAAAACTAGTTGTGAAATTGTTATAAAAATAATAATTTAATTGCTATTATTATAAAAAACAATTTTTCATTACATAAAATTTTGAAATTAGGAAAAAATAACAAGAAAATAATAGTCAAATGAAATTGTGATTGTTGTATGAAAAACAAAAAAACTATAAAGCTATTCCAAGCAGATCCATGATTTCATTTGTGGCAGCTTCTGTCAATTATTTTTTCGTTATTTTTAAGAAATTTGTGTGCTAAAAATTATTTTAGAAAGCAGTAAGAAAATTATCTTAAACAAAGTTGTAAGATCAATTTAAAATTATATTTTTTTGTAAATATTATTGTCAAGTTTTTATTAGAAAAAAAATTAAAAATATTTAAAAAATAATAATAATCAAATAAAAATTATGAATGAGATCTATAAAATAAAATAATGAGAAAATTAACTAAACAGATCTTAATTTTTAAGATTTTCAGAATAATAAGTTTTAAGATTTATTTATTGAGTGAAATCAATGGAAGTTTATGAGTTTGTTGAAGGTTTGTAATTACGTACGGCTTAATTTTATGAGGTCGTTGAAACTACTCAGTATAAATTATGATGGGAACAGTACTGGTTTTTAACAAAATAATGAGCAGATCCACTCAAAATTAATAAATAAGAAATTATATTGGACTCAAACAAAGGGTAGTTATGAAACAATAATTATCAAATATGGTTGTGAATCTGATTATGACGATAAACTTAGGCTTCGTTTGGGATGATTTTTTTACTGAGTTTTAAGCAATTATTTTGTACAAAAATTAATTTTTTTTGTACTAAAAAATTTAATTTAAGAAACAATAAAAAAGCAGTCCCAAACAAAGTCTTAACTGTTAAAAAAATATTGCGTTGAATTTATTGTTTAGATTGAAAAGAAGCCAAAAAAAAATTAATATTATGTGCCAATTTTATTTTGGTCAAACTCGTCTCATCATATTAAGATTTCATTTAAGGAGAAATTATTAATGGCAAAGTCTAGATGGTCTGGATTTGTGATGGTACATGGAAAATATATAGTGAATACGTAGTGTTTACAAATACTGTATATTTGTTGTGTACCCTCACAAAATCTGGACGAATCTTGAGTCTGGACTACGCACTTAATAATCTCACTCATTTGAAACAGTTTTTTAAATGTTTTTTAAGACAGTTTTTTAGTACAAAAATTTTAATTCAAGGAATTTTTATATTAAAAAGTTATTTTGGAAAGCAGTAAGAAAGCTGTCTCATTTGTTTGGAACAGTTTTTTTTATGATTTTTAAAAAACTTTCTAATACAAAAATTTTAGTTCAACAAATTTAATTTTTATACTAGAATGATGTTTTAGTCTTTTAGAAAGCAATACAAAATATGTCTCAAATGAAGACTAAATCTGACAAATTTATCAAATTTTCTTATGTAATTTTTAGAGAAAGTTTAATAGTTAAGTTCTCCTTATAAGTTCACCAATTATTGACACGACCCGATAACCTGACTCGGGTTCGGGTAGCAGTTTTTGACCCGTTTGAGAAATCGGGTCGGGTCCGGGTCAACCCGCTAACTCGACTTTTATCCGATTTGACCCAAACTCTGCAAGGGCTTCGTCGTCTTTGAGGCTTTGGCTCTGTGGTGAGTGCAAATGTCCAAGAATGATCTCTAATGGATGGCTGATTCCAAGAAGCAGACCAATGGAAGTGTCGAACTCCTCATGTTCGTCTTATGGTCGCACACAAGCCGAAGAGTCGAACTCCAAGAAGAAGGCCATGTCCCTCCTCATGTTATGTTCCCTTTTCTTCCTCTCCTCCGCTCTATTCTTCATCTGGGACAACCAACTCACGTCTGCATCTCCTACAAATAATCAAATGCCCTCTCTAGCTCTCACAGTCTCCCTCTCACGCGTACATAATCGGATGGTTCACAGGTCAAGTCATGTCAACCCGACAAACTGCATGGGTCCGGTTCGGGTTGGGAAATCTGACCCGTTTGCCTAATCAGGTCCGATTCAGGTTGACCAGTTTAGACCCGGGTCAGGCCGGGTTAGACCCAAACTTGACCTGTTGACCCATTTTGACACCCCTACATTTGAAAAATCATATTGTGTGTTAGAATATTTGGGGTAATTAAGAGATAGTTTAATATTTTAGTATTGTATAAAAATTCTATATATATATAGATAAAAAATGAGTTATTAGACACACTAGAGTTTTTATGGAGAAAGCTCAAAAAAGAAAAAAAAAATCATAAGATTGGCCTAATTGAAATGATTTCAATTAATGTGCACTGTCAATTACAAATGATGTGTTTCCCTATAATTGGGATCGTAGATATAACTATGATGTGTTTCCCCATAAATCTTAGTGATGATATTAGGAGTAAGAGTTGATGATTATGGCATGTATCTACGTTTTAGGCAGTGCCATTAATACGTTAAAAAATTTGTCTTAGTCATGCATGAATCTCGAGGCATATTCAAGTTTATGGTTTAAAATTAAATTTAGGTCCATCTGAACTCCAATTTCAACAAACTTATAGGCAAACTGAATGACTCGAATAGACAAACACAATAACACCAAATTTGGTCCAATCTGGACCCACATGGGTCCAAATCGGGGGCCCGAAGCGTATTTGAAAGATTCAAAGTATTTATTTTATAACAAAATGATATCTAAATATGACATGCTTATAGATAAATAGAGTGGCTCAAAAGATGAATTCAATGAGCCCAAGGTCGCTAAATTCTGGCATTATTAAGACACTTAAATGCTTGAAAAATACTCTATGATTGGGGGGATCAATATGGGTTGTTCAATGGTGCACTCCAAATCTGCCCCAAATCTTCTCCATATTTACGAGGAATGCAACTCTCAAAAATCTATAAATAGAATCCACTCTCTACATGAGGGGATACCTTTGGTTAGAGATTGGAGAGAGCTCTGAGGCTTCAAGAGCTCCAACACCACCTTTAGTGAACCTCAGTCGACTGTCGCCAGACCACCGCTTGACTGTCAACTGTCGTTGGACTTCCCCCAGACACCGACTGCTGTCGGACTTCCACTCGGCCGCCGTCCATCGTCGGACTTCCACCCGACCATCATTAGACCATCATGAGGCTACCGACTGCTGCCAGACTACAACCTGGCCATCCACCTCCATCACACTTTCGCCCAATTGTTATTGGACCACCGTCGGGCCGCCACCATATTTCCTCATATCCATTGACCATCGCTGGACTTCCACCCGGCTGCATACCACCATCGAACCTTCACTCGACCATCATTAGACTGCCTCTCGACCAATGAACTTCACCACCTATCAACTATGGTCCTCCTGACCATCATATTCCACCGACTATAGTCCCTCTGACCTCTATCACCCACAGATTATAGTCCCTCTGACCACCGTCGCTAGTCGACTATGGTCCCTCTAACCACCATCACTCGTTGACTACGATCCCTCTGACCACCATTGCCCATCGACTACGGTCCCTCCGATGACCATTTTCAATCGACTACAGTCCCTCCAACAATCGTCACCCACCAACTATAATTATTCTAATCTCCATCTCCTGTTGATTATGGTTCCTATAACCTTCGTCTCCATCCGATTATAGTCCCTTCGATCTCAGTCACCCATCGTCTATAGTCCATCTGACCACTATCATCCTTCAACTATCGTCCCTCTAACTTCTAACGCCAATCGACTATAGTTCATTCGACCTTCGTAGCTCACCAACTATAATCCCACTGACTTTCATCATCCTACCAACTAAATGAATAGGGTGACGTTCTCTTGAGAATGAACCCCTTATCATTGGATTTCTTATAACCCCAATTATGTAATGTGCTCTATATGGTACATTAAGCTAATGCCTTCCCCAATGAAAAGGCGCCATTTGTAATCAACTACAAGCAGTAATGAAATCATTTTAATTGGGTAAGGCCTTGTAGGTTTTCCCCTTTTTAGAAATTTTCACAAAAAAATTTTTGGTGTCTCTTATGACTCTCACGCCCCTCTTTCTTTATATGTTTGTGTGTTGGATCTTCATATAAATCTAAGATGCTGAACTCCAAATATCTCTATCTCCGTGAATGTTCCAGTCCGCAACAAACATATATTAACATTATTAGTGTTGGTGGGTGATAAAGTAAGTAGGGATTGGGGGTAGTTGAGTAATAATGGTTAGGAGACTATATCTAGGTGACTGTTGTCACGCTCCAAAATCTAATTTTAAAGAATTATTCTTTTTATCTTTATAAAATAACAATACCATAGTTATTTAATTTCTTTTTAGTAGTAAAATCAAATATATGTTGAAGCAAATTTTATTGATCAAAACATTTATATGCATCTTTATTCATTTCTCTAAAATCATATGCAATACTCACAAATCATACAAATATGATCTATTATTTTTGTCCTTAGTACAAAAGAATAGTACATATAGAAAGAAATTATTAATAGTAAACCTGCAGAAGCATTATCAGCCTCACACACTTGATCCTCTGCCATGCCATGACATTGAATTATCTAAACAACAGATAATGAGCTAAATAGCCCAGTAGGTCGCCAAATCTTACAACTGAACCAAAGCACGATAAAGAAGTAGTATGTATATCTAATCAGTTCAATACTAGTAAAAATCATAAGATCAGGAATCAATACAGAAATAGTAAAACTCACATACAATAGTAGTAGAGTCAAAAAATTGTAAAATGGTACGATAGGAGAACTAATAAAGCAATACATTGTAAAAACCAGTACACCGGTACAAGTGTCAAAATCATAAAGCAATCATCGTATCCGTGTTATTAATCATTTATTAATTAGTAAATGAATCATATAAATCGGTAAAATCAAAGTATCGATAAAAACTATCATAAATCATATTAGTAGTAAAATAAGAGCAGTAATATCAATACAAAAAGGGTTTGAGGACTATAGTCGAATAATGGTGGTAGGATGGTCATAGTTGGTTGATGGTAGTCGAATGACCATAGTTGGTTGATAGTGGTCGGAGGACCAAAATATCGTGCTATTAGTTAAATAAATATAGTTAGACAATGTTGGTTACATAGCTACAATCAATCAATTGTGGTCAAATAATTGTATTCAGGTGATAGTGATATAAAAATTATAATCGAGAAGATAAAATAGTGATAGGAGATTTATAGTCAAGCGATGGTGGTAAGAAGACAATAATTAGGCAGTAGTCATTGTTAAGTGTAAATTATATACTATGTATTCCATTTAATTTTTTTTTTTGAGGGTTAGGGGATTCGAGCCTTGGTGAGATGGGAGGAATTTCTTCCGTCAACCACTCGGCCGCAAACCCAATCTCATTCCATTTGAATTTTAATAAAAAATATATTATTTTAGTTATTTTTGTACAGAAAATATTTAATTAGAAATGATGAAAAATATAAAGAATCATATAGTGCCACAATGCCGGATGAAATAACATCGCTGCGTTGAAATCAACTCTGCTGAAGTGTCATCCTCTCTGTTTGAGAGCACTACAATGGCATCGCAAGTAGTGTTGTTGTGTTAATAGCAGCGTTGCTGTGAAAACACCCTTAATTTTTAAAAATTTGTTTTGACCTTGAATGATCAAAAAATATTTCAGGAGTTATTTAAGTCTAAATCATAATATATATTCGCTAAAACAAATATAGCGTTGTGCTTTAATTATCCTAAATTTTTCATAATTTTTGGGTATTCGTAAAATTTCTTAAGAAATAAACACTTGTGAGAATTTTTGGATCGTTGGGCGTCCGTTTTGCAAATCGATTTCACCACAATATTTTAGACATTCATAGCTAATTTATGATTTTTTTTTGATAAATTTGAATTCCTGAATTTGAAGATATAAAAGAATTTAGATGGAATCAATATATTAATATCAAATAATTAGAATAATTATTTAATATTTTAATTTAATATCAAAACCCACTGACTAATTAAATTAAATAACATTAAAATTCCATCATCCTTTCCATTCTTCGGCAACAAAGAACTGCTTATGGAAATTAGGGAAAAAAGAGAGGAGAGAGAAGAAGAAATTCTAGTTTTTGGTAGACTTCAAGTCATTTTCATCCGTTGGTCCAACTGGAAAATTTGTTTGTCTCAATTAAATCCCAATACTCTCTTTTCAAAATAATCCCTGATAATTTGATTATTTTATAAAATATACATTTGGCCTAGTAGGAGTTTTTGTTGCCAACTATTATAAAAAATCGTGTAATTTTGATACATGCTCAATTACTCTTTAAACATTATAACATTGTGGCGTCTTAGAGTATTTGCGACAGCAGAGAAATATAAAATTTAACATCTTACTTTTGTAAGATATCCAACACACAATCAGATAAAAAGAGAGAAGGTGCAACATTATTAAGAGACACCAAGATTTTTATGTGAAAAATTCTAAAATGGGGAAAAACGTACCATGGGGCCTAACTCAGTTTGAATGAATCCACTAGTATTTGCACTTGATTACAAATGAGATCCTTCATTAGCAGGAAGGTCATGACTTTATGTAACAAATATACGTCATATAGTGTGTGTTACATGGTGGAAATAGGAAGAATCATTGTTGACATATTCGCTTGGTCGTAAGGGACATAGTCGATGGGCCATGGAGGTTGAAAGGACTATAGTCAGTGGGAGACGTTAGCCATAAAGACTGTTGTATGATGGTGGCTGTCAGAAGGACGGCGTCAGGTAGAAGTCATGTGACAAAAATAAGTCCAACATCAGATAAAAGTCTGGTGAATGTCCGGTGACAGACATAAATCTATCGAGGGGTAGAAGTCTGATGGAATTCTAGTGACGGGCAGAAGTCCGATGTTCGACATAAATCTGGTGACAGATGGAAGTCCAACATTGGGTAGAAATTCGGTGACGGACGGAAGTTTGGTGTTAGATAGGAATTTGATGATGGGTGCAAGTCCAATGTTAGGTAGTTTGTCGATGGATAGAAGTCTAGCGTTGAATATAAGTTCAGCAAAAGTCCGGCAACAGGCAGAAGTATTGCGTCAGGTAAAAATTCGGCGACGAGCGGAGGTCCGACATCGGGTAGAAGTCCGACGACAGTCAGTAGCCGGGCAGAACTCCGATGTTAGATGTCTTTCATGCATAACTGTGATGTCGGTAGGCTGCTGGGTGAAAGTCTGGCGGTGATCGAGGAGGAGTCTTTTCTTTCTCTTTTTTGGTTGCTTCTCTTCTCTTCTTGCTTAGGGTTTGATAAAATTGATTGTACAATGATATCAAAAAACGAAGACTCGACGGGATAAATTATAGATGCCATATAAGAAGAATATCAAGATTAGTATTCTCAATTGTAAGTTTCTTGCTTTAATAAATATTTAATATTTTTATAATGAATCTAACGACTTAAAAAAATTTTAAAACCACTGATATTGGTTCCAAGTCCGGATGAAAAATGTTGAGTTTTTTTTTTACTTCAATGCTTTGTGCTCACACATGAACAAAATCCTTGCTCTGCCCTTGATTGTTTGTCCTTAAATTGCTAGATAGGGCAAGACGGCCTTTAGGATGTTGATTTTTTGAGGTTTTTTCATGGATCATGAACGAATTTAATCATAAAAATACTCGAACTACAGAGCTACTAGGCTCAACAACTAAGCACATCTTTTTATTTCCTTCCATCACCAGGTTACATATTTTTTAAATATCTCAAGCCTAAAATATTTATGAAATGATTCTCATTAGTTAAATTTAAATATAATAACAATAACAAGTTTTGATCTAATGAATTTTCATTAATTAAATGAAAAAAATATTTTGAATTACAAACTTCACCATTAAAATAATAATAATAATAGGTTTTAATTTCTATGGATAACTCTTTTTCCTAATCTACGTGTATTGATTTGTACATATTTGTTTTATTCTGTAGATATATTGCGCCAGGATTAATATTACAAAATAAAATAAAAAATGCTGGCAAACTCCGCTCTCCTCTTCGTGCTCCTGCATTGTATTTTTCGCTAGCAGTCGCTTGTAGCGCAACGGATCATCGGAAGAATGGCGAGCGGAGCAGCTGGACGCGCCACGCTGGGTCTAACGAAGCCCGCTGCAATCGAAATCCCTCAGGTCAAACTTCATTTTAGTCTCCTTAATCTATTAGGTATAGAGTGTGTTCCTGAGTTGGCGAATCCGAGCTGCTCGATGAATGATTCGGAAGCTTCTTTTCGCGATTTAGGGTTCGGTTTGCGACGGTTTTTACTACAGCATATTTGATGTGGTTTGTTTGGGAATGATTGCTTATTTGTGGGACGTTTCTCTGGGCTGAAGGTTTGCTGGCGGCGCTATAGCGTTAATTTTTCCTATAGAATTTGTTAACTTGTCTTTATTATTTGTTTTCGATCTGCTTGAATGATTCTGGTGGGGCAATTTGTTTCTGTTTTTCTGTTCACCGTGTTTCTTTCTACATGCTCCTTTTTGAGGGTTTTTTTTTCTTCTTTTTTTTTTTATTGCCGATATGGTTCTATTCTGTGGATTTATGCATCCTTCAATGTTTATGATTTCTATGTTCTTAGATATAGAAAGGATTCTACTTTTCATGCTTATTCTGAATCACTTTTTTGTGATCGTGTAAGGGAGAGCATTTGATTGCCTGCCATCATCATTAACAGATATCTAGAGAGGCCAGTTATAGGAGTTGCACTGCTCATTAAGATTGCCTGCTATTGACTTAAAAACTGGGGTTTAAGTTTGCATGTCATGTGACATTGATCAAACTTGCACCCATTCTGAATATGAATGTGTGGTTTGATTTTATGCAGTTATTGTAAAATAATTGTGTGAGTTAGAGTGAGGGAGAAACGAAAAAAAAAAACTCATAAAAAGGCAAAATTTTCTTGTTTCTATGATATTAACCTGCAATGTTCCACAATCACACAAAGAAGATAATCACCATAGTAAAAAAAAGGGTAGCATAAAAAATTTTATGCTATCCTTTATGGGAGAATAATAAGGGATTAAAGAGCATAGGAAGATACTTGAAGAAAATGCCGAAGACCTTGAATAGTGTTTCCTATTGAGTAATAGGGTGTTTTATGTTCGTCTGGCCCAACAGTTTGTTTGCATCTCTACCATGCTTTCATCGATACCACCAAGCTTACACTGTATGGTTCACCATTGCTAAAAATAAAATATTTGAACGATTTCCTGTTCCTTTCCCTCCTTTTTTTCTTCCCCTCTCTTTCTTCTCAACATGTTTGGCTTCCCTATTTTTTCTTCCACTGGGAAACTCTCTCTCTTATTCATCCTCGCTCTACTTCTTTTTTGTCCCAACAAACCTTGTCTTAGGCTTACACAAACTTCTGACCACTTTATTGCAGCCCACCCACTGATGAATTTAGACTCCCCTTTTTTAGTCTTCCATATATAAGAGTTAAACTGTTAAAGTCTTAAAGAGCTGGAAATTCAAGACAAAAACCTGATTCAATGTGAAATTTGAAACTAAACTATTATGATAGAATTAACAATAAAATTGTGAACCTATAATTATCCAATAAGATAATTATGATAAATTGGTGATAGTATGCTGCATTCTTTCTCGCTCGCTAATTGGTTCTTTCCCAAATAGATGACTTTCACATGTTATCATTTTTGATTTATGCCGCTCATGTTCTTGCCTCTATTGGGTAGCACTAGTAGGCTTTCCATCTCCTCCTTCCCAATTTCTTCTTAATCGTCTCTCTTTGATGGTTCAATGGGTTTATGTGGCTCCCCTAATTTGGAGATTATCATCGTCGCCTATTTTTGTGGATCCTATCATCTTGTAGGTTCCTTCTCTTGTTGCTCACAATTCTCATTGCTTCATGAATGCGGTGGTTGGGTTGACGGGGTTGTGATCGCCTTCATCTCCTTGCACCCATTTCTTATTATTTTTTTCATAAAAACTCAGATCCACCTATGAACAAGATTCTATTTTTCAAGACAAATTTATGCCTTTAATGATGAGATGTTTGAGTTTGCTAGACCACCTTTTTTTTTCTATTGTTGATGAATTCTCCTTGGATGAACCTAGGTGATATTCATAAATTTATGTCAAGTTTATACTTGGCTGGTAAATATTCAATTAGGCTTATTGGTTATCATCATATCATTATAAGACTTTCATTAGAAGCAAATTACAATATACTCTTCTCTCACTTTACCTACTACATTAGTGGCTATTCACTGCTTATGCTAAATTGGCCTGCCTATTTTGACGCTTCTGAGTAACCACCTATCACCCCATTCTGGTTGTCTTTTTCCAAGTTCTATTTGCATTATTGGCTATTCACTTTATGCTCTTTTGATGAGGGCATCAGATTTCGACACGTGTACCAACGCCGGGGACGACGATCGACGGCTTTGATTCAGAGCCTTTATTTTTGATGCTTTAGTTTTTCTTTTCATGATTATGTTTCATGTTTTCCGTTTGTACCCCTATGAGGGAAGTAGTACTTATTGTAGCCCAAGGGCATTTTCGTCTTTTTGCTTTTTATTTTGTCAGCCCATATAAAGGGCTTTTGTCATTGTATTTGGATTATTAAATGAATGAAAATTTTTCCATGCTTTTTTCTCTTTGTGAGTGCATGAAGTTCTCTTGGTGAGTGCTTCCATTGAGATCTCTTAGTGAGTTATCTAATTAACTTTTTTTATATTTGCTTTGCATAATTTTCTTCCCTCTAGAGAGTTTTTCCAAATTCCTCTTTCCCTTTGCTCTTGCCGCCGGCCCCTAGGCCTTTCCCCACCGCCGGCCAAGCTCCACCGCCGCCCACCACCTCGCTGACGACCTCCTCCCGTACGCATCATCCCATATTTTTCTCAACCTCAAATTAGAGATTGAAATTTCAAAATTTGAATTGTTTCATAATTTGGAAATCCAAATAAGGAAAGTCTTCATGAGTAAAAAAATTTCAAATCAATTTAATTTGGAGTTTTAAGACTCTTGCCACGTCATCAAATCAAGCATTAAAACCCCTTCCCCCTCTCCCCAAATCTCTCCCTCTCTCCCTATGCTTGCCGCTGGCCCCTCCTTAGTGGATTCCTCTTTAATTACTACATTAACTCCTATGATTCTAATTTGAAATTCAAATTAGGAGTCATTAATTTCCCCTCCTATTTGGATTAAAACTGAAATAATTTCAGTTTAATCCCTTTCCCCCTCTCTTTTCTTCCACCGCCGGCCTCCTCTCTCTCCCCTCCATTAATCCTTCATTAAGGAATTAATTCCCCTCCCTTTTGGAATTCAAATTCCCCCTCCAAAATTCCCCCTCCAAAATTCCCCAAAGCTGAAATTATTCTCAGCTTTTGTTCTTATTTTCTATACCCATCTCCCCTCACCCCACATCCACCGCCGGCCTCCCCACCCATCCTACAACCCGCCGCCCCCCCATCTCTCCTCTTTGGAGATTTAGTTGCGGCGACCACCCTTTCACCTCTTCAAGGATGCATGGAGGTTCCTGAGTGGAATTTCGGGTTTGAATACGACAACCGTGGACGAGTGAACATCCTCCGGTCTCCCTTCTTCGACGTCGGATTCGACTTCGACGACACCGTCGAGTATTATTTGGACCGGATCCTACCCGCTCTAGTGGAGTCTATCGACGATCATTTTTCTGTCTACACGTGGATCGTTGAAGGGCGTTGTTTTGCACCACCTCCACGACCCGCGCCGACCTCTCTTTCCCTACGGATCTACGGCACCATCGCCCTAGGAGTGGTCTCATCATTTGTGTGGTTCTTCTTCTCCCAACAAGCTTAGAAGTAGGTAAATGAGAGCGGCGTCAAGGTGAGACAATCGCTTTGTTAACCGCGGGATTCTAGTTGGCTCTTCATTTGCTTTACTTTTATTACAGTTGTTATTTTCTTGGTCTTGCTAATTTAGGTGTAAGCTCTTGCCTAACCATAGTTAAATTCTAAGATCTCCGAAAAGTTTCAATTGAGAACAAAATTAAGCTTGTAATTCCATCACTTGAACAATATTTTATTAAGTTTCTAATTTCAATTCCTGGTTTTACATCATCTTTAGGTTCTATATTGGGTAAATCTTTATAAGCCGATATTGTTACTGTTTATCTTTTTAGGCCATTAATGGCCAGAATTCTAGTGGAGGCCACTTGAAAAGGAGGTGCAAATTGGCTCATCATCGTGTACATTTTGGTAGAAAGTAGAATTTGAAGGCATCCCCCTTTATTTCTCTTTCTACGAGTTCTTTGGTTAAAATATTCTAATAGCTTCAAGTCTCATCCGAATATGAGGAAATAAAGCATTCAAGCATAGTAGACATATTCAAATGCTCATATCTTTCCTTCCATAATTGTTGGTACACTGTCTTCGTCAGCTTAGCTTTGCACTCATAATCAATAACCAATAGATTTACCTTGGATTCTAAACCTGTTGTGCCTACCCCTATTAGCCATATAAATATATTTTCAACATCTCCTATAAATAATATCATGAATATTGACCATTGTATTTTTGAAGTTCTTCACCCCCTCCTATTTGTGAAGATATTGATGATCATGATTCACAATATCTTTTGGAGTATGATGGGAGCATTCTGAGTTATGATGCTCTGGTGGATAAAATTTGAAATCCTGTTTATCAAATAAAGTTGGAATAAGAAAAAAATTTATCATCACTTTCATGTTTGCACCAGGATTTAAATAAGGTGGTCCAAATGAGTGCTTTATGCCAATTCATGTTAATTGCCCATGTTATACTCATCATTTTTTTAGTTATAAATTATGTTAAGAAAGATACATTGGTGTTTATTATAAAATCATCTATTTTGAATTTTATGCTTATCTTGCAGAGAGAAATTATGCTCCACCATTTAATAGTTTTTTTACTTCAAGATTAATTTTTGTTGCACTTGCTTGTAAAAACTAACTTTGTGCCACTTTATCTCAATTATCCATGGAGGTTGACTAGACCTTGCTAATCTTTAGATTCTGAATATTTTTGTAAGCATGCTAGTCAAGTTCATAATTCCTTTTATTTGTGTCAATAGTAGAATTCCTTCCAATTAATCCTTAGATAACCGATATTTTTTAGTCTTGGAATTAAATATTGCATATTTAGCATGATATTTG